GCCTGTGTCCTTACAATAGAACAATTTATAATCCTTTGGATACATACCCAGTAATGGGATTGCTGGGTCAAATGGAATTTCTATTTCTAGGTCCTTGAGAAATTGCCACACTGTCTTCCACAATGGTTGAACTAATTTACACAAGGATTCCCTGTTTAATAAATGATGTTGGGAAAACTGGCTAGCCATGTGCAGAAAGCAGAAACTGGACCCCTTCCTGACACCTTACACTAAAATTAACTCCAGATGAATTAAAGACTTAAAACGTAAGACCTAACACCATAAAAACCCTAGAAGGAAACCTAGGTAAAACCATTGAGGACATAGGCATAGGCAAGGACTTAATGACTAAAACACCAAAAGCATTGGCAACAAAAGCTAAAATAGACAAATGGGATCTAATTAAACTCCAGAGCTTCTGCACAGCAAAAGAAATGATCGTTAGAGTGAACTGGCAACCAACAGAATGGGAAAAAATTTTTGCAATCTACCCATCTGATAAAGGACTTATATCCAAAATCTGCAGAGAACTAAAACAGATTAACAAGAAAAAAACAAACCCGTTCAAAAGTGGGCACAAGTTATGAACAGACACTTTTCAAAAGAAGACATATAAGAGGCCAACAAACATAGGAAAAAATGTTCATCATCACTGGTCATTAGGGAAACGCAAATCAAAACTACATTGAGATACCATCTCACGTCAGTTAGAATGGTGATCATTAAAAAATCTGAAGACAACAGTTCCTAGAGAGGATGTGGAGAAATAGAATCACTAATATTCTTAATGGCATCTAGAATGGTGCATCCTTTCCATAAGGTTTTCAGTGTACTTTGCACAGTCCCTCAGAGGAATCTGTAGCAGCTATAGCCTCACAGAATGTATCTTAAATAATATGACTTGAAAGCCAGAATTACTCCTTGATCCATGGACTGCAGAATGGATGTTGTGTGAGGCATGAAAATATTAATCTTCTTACACATCTCCATCAGGGCTCTTTCATCTCCCTCAGCAGGTGCATTGTCAGTGAGCAGTAGGATTTTGAAAATCTTTTTTTTTTTTTGAGTAGTAAGTCTTAACAGTACACTTAAACTGTTTCATAAGCATGCTGTAAACATAAGTGCTGCCATCTTGGGCAGCTTTGTTTTATTTATAAAGCACAGGCAGAGTAGGCTTAGGATAATTCTTAGGGGTTTTAGGATTTTTGGAATGGTAAATGAGCACCAGCTTCAACTTAAAGTTGCCTTCCGTATTTGCCCCTAAAAAGTGAGTCAACCTGTTGACTGAAGGTTTGAAGTCAGACATTGACTTCTCTCTGGCTAGCAAGTCCTGGATGATGTTTTCTTCCAGTGTAAGGCTGTTTTTTGTTCACTTTGAAAATCTGTTGTTTAGTGCAGCCACTGTCGTTGATGGTCTTAGCCAGATCTTCTGGAGAGCTTGCTGCAGCTTCTCCATCAGCAGTTCTGCTTCATCTTGCACTGTTAAGTTATGGAGACGGCTTCTTTCTTTCAACCTCCGGGAGCTTCAAACTTTTGTTTTGGAGCTTCCTCACTTCCCTCAGCCTTCATAGATGTGAAGAATTACATCCTTACTCAGGCTGTGGCTCCAGGCAATGTTGTGGCTGGTTTGATTTATCCAGAGCACAAAACCTTTCCCCATATCAGCAATAAGGCTGTTTTGCTTTCTTATCATTTGTACGTTCACTGGAGTAGCACTTGAATTTCCTTTAAGAACTTTTCCTTTGCATTCACAATGTGGCTAACAGGCACAAGAGGCCTAGTTTTCAGCCTGTCTTGTTTTTTGACATGCCTCCTCACTAAGCTTCTAGCTTTTGATTGAAAGTGAGAGATGGGTGACTCTTCCTTTCATTTGAACACTTAGAGGACATTGTAGGGTTGTTACAAGATCTAGTTTCAATATTGTTGTGTCTCAGGGAATGGGGAGGCCCTAAGAGTAGGGGAGAGATGGGGGAATGGCCCATTGGAGGAGTAGCCAACACACAACATTTATTGATTATGTTCGGTGTCTTTTATGGGCACAATTTGATGTGCCCCAAAACATGAAAATAGTAATTAATAATCAAAGATCACTGATCACAGATCATAACAGATGTAATAATAATGAAAAAGTTTGAAGTATTGTGAAAATTACCAAAATATGACTTGGAGAAATGAAGTGAGCACGTGGTAATGGGAAAATGGCACCCGTAGACTTCACCACAGGGTTGCCACAGACCTTCATGCAGTATCTGCAAAGTGCAGTAAAGTAACATGCAGTCCTCTTTAACTAGACCCCAGATAACTTTTAAAAATGTTTTTTTAAAAGGACTGTGAAATATTTAATTGGATTAAAACTATGTTGTGTAAAATGAGTATAATTCTTGACACACTGACCTTTATCTTTTTTTTTTTTTTTTTTTTTGAGACGGAGTTTCACTCATGTTACCCAGGCTGGAGTGCAATGGCGCGATCTCAGCTCACCGCAACCTCCGCGTTCTGGGTTCAGGCAATTCTCCTGCCTCAGCCTCCTGAGTAGCTGGGATTACAGGCACGCACCACCATGCCCAGCTAATTTTTTGTATTTTTAATAGAGACGGGGTTTCACCATGTTGACCAGGATGGTCTCGATCTCTTGACCTCGTGATCTACCCGCCTCGGCCTCCCAAAGTGCTGGGATTACAGGCTTGAGCCACGGCGCCCGGCCTGACCTTTATCTTTTATAACACAAATGATGAAACTGACATTTCTCTCTTTCACCATGCCTAAACTAAGCAGTAGAATAACAATCATGGTTCTCTAGCCTACTAAATAATAGTACTTATGTACTTTACATAATACTAATTATTGTTATACCTCACATGTCTGCAAGTAACTTACTTGGAAACTGTAAAGAAGGGAAAATGCTCTTGGGCAGGCAAAAGAGAAGCCAAAGACCATGCACTTGAGGTTATGAATTGGACCTGGGAGGTACAGCTTTGATCCATTTACTCTTTAGATATAATTTTAAAAGTTGCAAATATGATACCTTTACCCATAGCCTGTTGGGGGAGGGAGGAGATTGTTGCTGGACACACGCTCGTTTCTAGGAGCAGAAACCAGGAGCTGATGTACCTGGTAGAAAGGAAGATGGAAGGGAGAGCTAGCAAGTGAGCTGGAGTCTCGGGAAGGATGGTAGTTGGTGTGGGAGCTGACAGCACTGTTACTAGTAGCCTCTGGTGCTGTAATTGTTAATCAAAGCAAAAATTCATTAAATGCTTATTTTATGACAGGCATTGTGCCAACTGTTGTACGTGCATTATTTAATACTTAACAACATCTATAGACCCGTCATTAGCCGTATTTTATAGCTGAAAGTTGTCACGTGGAAGTGCAGACAGGATGTGAACCCAGGGCTGCTGGAACTCAGTTGTGTGCATGCAGCCATCATTCCATGTGCCCTTCTGTTTATTAGCACAATAAAATAATTGACTCTAATTATACTCTTTTTGAATAAAGAAAACAGAATGTTTGGCTTTTTTTAAAGGCTGGAAAGTATAAAAGTATTTAAATTTTTTAAAATTTTAAATCGTTCAAATTGCAGTTTTTCCACTAAAAGATGTTAAGGTATTATTTTCTAAAAATTTTTACTTCCTACAAAGTTGTAAATTTGTTATATCTGTATAGATTTTTGAATACAAAATTGTGAGTTGATTTTATTATATTACCTTGTCTACTAAAGGAAGTGAATCTCCCCAGCTGACCCATATTAAGTGCTAAATTAATTGTGTTTGTTTATACTGCATGCTATTCCAAAGGGCATTAGGACAGGTACAAACATTTATGTTTGTTCATAACTGCAGTAGCTGGGGACAGCTCTGCTCCCTGTACTCACTGCCAGCTCATAGTTAGTCTCTGCATGCGTATCTGTAGCAGGAACAACTGTGAGAGCAGAGGTGTTGTGTTTGTTCATCACTGGATCTCCACTGCTTTTAGCACTGTTTGGAAATAAAGGTGTTGAAAAAGCATCAGTTGCCTACTTTCAAAAACATCAAATTATAATTGCATACAGTTCATTGAATTTATCCTTGGCATAATTTTTATCTTTGACTCTTAATTTTATAAACTTTTGTAATGATTATCCTCCTCATCATTTTGAAACTCAGTTTTAAATTTTAGTTTTTTACCTGTAAAAAATATGATGTGACATGTTGGGCCAAATACCCTCCCAATGGCATAGGTAACAGGGCTCTGTCTTTTACTAAATCTGTTCTTGTTATTTTAGTTGCCATTTTGTGCCAAAGGAAGAAAAGGTCACTTTGAGATTGCCAGTCTCTGTGACTTTTTCTTTCCCACTTGGAATTGTTTACCAAAATTTCTGTGATGTAGTGATTTTTTAAAATCCCAGGAATTAAGAGTCAGCTCTGCCACTTGTAGGCTATACAGCCTTAGCAAGTTGCATAGCCAGCTCATGCTTCTGTCATATTGGGGCAGTAATGTTACCTGCCTCGTGGGATTGCTGGGTGAGTAAATGAGTTTGGATAATATCTGTAAATCATTTAGAATCGTGCTTGGCACATAAGGGCTCAATAAATGCTAATTATTATTTTTAGAGTTTTTATGAGGCTTAAATTAAATGGGATTATGCATGTAAAATGCTCAGTAGAGTATCTGGCATTTATTAAGGGCTCAATAAACGCTAGTGACTCTAATTTAAATATTCCGGTGCCAATATGTCTAAAGAGGCAGTTTCTTTGGATCTCTGCACACGTCATATTTTTAGTGAATTTATTTTAGGGCATGGGAAAAAACATTAATTTCTATACTGACTTTTCCCAGTAGGTATAAGTTACAATGTTAAAAAACTTTAAATAAATATGTACTATAATTCTTTTATGATTTCTAAGTTTATCTCATTTGTTACTTATGTTTATTTTTACTATTTAAAAGTATAGATCTTGATTAAGATTGCAATTTCAATATCTAACCTGTTTTTCCTTCTTTTCTTGTTATCCTTTTTATAGGTTTGTGGAATCTTGCTTCCCTTTTTTCCAACCTTTGTTTATTTGTATTGATGCCCTTTGCCTTTTTCTTTCTGGAATCAGAAGGCTTTGCTGGCCTGAAAAAAGTAAGTGAATCTAGTATTGGAATCAGATTTGTTAAGTGAGGAATTCAGTGTCATTCACATTGAACTAGAAAAAGCAGTCTTAAATTATTTAAGTGGAATATAAAAAAATTAAATGAATAATAAGTAATATTAACATTGTTCACAGTAACTTGAATAAGTCTACATATTGAATTATTTTGCATGTCCATGAGAAAGAGACATCTTTTAGACCTTTGAGTGCTTTTACAATATGTGTACATTTAGTGTAATGGATAAACCTGATATAATAGCTTTTTTTCTTTTCTTAGGGTATCTTATTTAGTTCGAAGTGACAGTTAAAGTGTTAGTGACAGTTAAAGTGTTATTTCCATGGGCTCCTCTTTCTGTTGTCTAGCTGTTATTCCATGTGTTAATAGTCTGCAGCTGAAAACTGACAGCTGATTTCACATTTAGTAAATGTACCAGGGTCAGAATGAATGACTCTGGCAGTCAAACCTGACATTAAGAATACTGGCTTTTGTACGTTGGAATTTTAAAAATCATGATGTATTCTTAAGACTGGCAATTAAAATTTAGTCAGTGGCCGGTGCAGTGGCTCACACCTGTAATCCGACCACTTTGGGAGGCTGAGAGGAGGCTTGCTTGAGGCTAGTACTTTGAGACCAGTCTGGGCAACATAGTGAGACCCTGTCTGTACTAGAAATAAAAAAGTTAACTGGGCATGGTGATGGGCACTTGTGGTTCCAGCTGCTCTCGAAGCTGAGGTAGGAGGATTGCTTGAGTCTGCAGGTTGAAGCTGTGGTGTGAGCTGTGATCGCGTCACTGCACTCCAGCCTGGGTGACAGAGCAAGACCCTGTCTCAGAAGTAAACAAAAACCAAGGATGAACAGCAAGAAGGAAGGAGGTCATTGAAGACTTTTGAGAAGGCAATTTCTGTAGAATTTTAGAACCATAACTTTTGATGGATATTCATTCATTCAATAGAGAATGAATTTTATTGAGAATTCAGAGTTTTATTAAGTAATTCCTTAAGTAGCACTTATTATGCTACTTATAGGAGCTTGCTGGGGACACAGATGGAAAGATGAAGCTCTTGCCTTCAAGGGTCAGACAGTGGGAGAAGTGATAGAGGTAAAGAAATAAGATGTAGTTTGAAGCCCTTTTATATAATGAAGTTCTGTGGGAAACCCTACAAGGAATGGATATCTTGATTTGCCTGGGGAATTGAGCTGGCTTCGCAGGAGAAGTGAACCTGGACTTGGGCTGGGACTTGAAGGATGAGCAGGGGTTTGCCAGATTGTGGCATTCCAGGCCTGAGCAGAGGCCCGGAGCTCTGATAGAATTGTGGAAATGGCCGTACTTAGATACTGGAGAATGGGGAGAGATGAGGGTGCACAAGTTGGCCAGGGTCGGATTCCGGAGGCCTGGAGTCCTCTGGCCGGTAATTTGAATTTTACGTTGTAGGCAACAGAGAAGCTGGGATAGGATGTTTGAAAATAATGTTTTCATCCACTGTTTGAGTATATTTAGAGATAAATACGCATTTTAGACTTCGTGCAGTTCACAAAGGAAAGGAGTACAAAGGAGTGCACACTCCACACAGTGCACAGCCCTGTAGACCCCAGTGCCGAGTCAGTCCTGACTGGATTCTATGGCAGTGCCTGGTGACGTTGGTTTCAAGTATGCAAAGTTCTTCCCTCTTCGTGACACCACCTCTTGTGTAATAGTGCCATATACAAAAAGCAACTGATAAAGCTCGGTGGGAAATATACTTTCATATTTGGCATTATAAGCAGTATCTACCTAATTTATACTTTTCATAAAAATCTAGTGGAATAGATTATTATTTAAAATAACAGGGTGTAATATGGACAAACTCTTTGCCTCCCAAGTTATTTTCTTCCCTTCATGTGAATTAACCAACAAGAAAAGGGACTTAGGTAAACCTGTTTGAAGAATTAGCAACAATCTCCACAATTTAAAAAAAAAAAAAAACTCTGACAAAAAGGCCCAGTGACATGTCACTTTCCCCCTGTTCCCTCTTATAGACTTAAGGTCAAAGGGACAATCAGCTAAGGAGGGATCCTAGAAGGTAAAGAAAGATATTTCACACCTACGATTGCACAGCACTTATTTCCTCTATTTAAAAATATTTTTAGTCTTTTTATACATGATTAAAATGATATTCTTTTCTTAGCGCATCTTTGACTATGTTGGTCCCCTAAAAATCCCTCGAGGGTCATTGGCTGTGTTTGGTGACCTCAGATGGGACTGAAATACTGAAGGATTGTAGGATACAGGCAACTATGAATCCAATTAATTCCCAAACACAGCAGAAGACTTGAAAAGAGGGCAATAAGGTGGAGCCCAGGAAGACTGCCATTTGTCCGACTTGTGAAGTTGTGATAGGTGCTGTAGAAAACCAAATTAAAGAATTCGGTTGTTAATGCCATTAAGTGAAGGAGGGAGATGGGGTTACAGCTTGAAGGTAGAGGAGGAAGAGTAATTTTAAAGTTGGAGAGTCTGACTACACTGCTATGCTGAGGAAAAGAGGTCAGTGGAAGACAGTGAAGCTACAACCAAGGAAACATTTGGCATCAGCCTTGGCAAGTGAGAAACTTCATCTAAACCTCAGGGTTTCTTTCAGTAAAATGGGTGTCACAATAATATTTCCTTTATTGTATTATTTTGGTGATTAAATGAGATGTGATTATTCATGTAATGCAGGACTTCACTTAGTAAATGTTAGCTATTATTAAATTACCTTTATCCTCCAGATAGTCTTTAAATGCATTTGACTAGTAAGTACTCTATAAAATTTTCAGTAATCACTAATCACTAATAAGTATTCTAGAATACTTATTCTCACTAAGTATTCTATAAAATATGGGCCTCAAAGCAAGCAACTGAATATAGTACAGTCATCTTTTAATTATTCACAAGTTATTATATCAGGCAGTTTTAAAATTCCAAAATATGTTTCTCATTTTGAAATGGCATGTACTGAAGCAGAATAAATCAGCTTGAGCATTAAACCTAGCATAGTTTGAAGCAAACTTGTTTGAAAATAAGGTGTGTTCCAGACCCTAGTAGAAAGGTTTAGAAAGTTTTAAAATTAAGCTAATAAAGGCATGCTATTTAAAAATACTCATATTTTTCAGTTTCAAAATCAGTCACATATAAGTTGGAAAGGTTGTTAATACTGTGTAGTTAAGTCTAAATGTGTTAAGTATACATGGAGCCTTTTAATGTTGAATCTTTCTGTGGTCTAGAATCATTTGGTAAGTTTGATAATCATTTGTGTAAGTTCTAAATAACATTTTTAAAGATACATGGTTCTTTACACAGTACTTTTAGAATTATTAACTTTGCTGCTTTATTGAAATTGTTATAATACATCACAGTCATTAAATGTTCAACATATTTGGCCACAAGTAGGTATATTTATGTATGTTCCTTTAAAGCTGTTTGCTCATTGGTTACATTTGACACATCTAGTTTCTGAAGTGATAACTGCAGAGAGGTTAGAAACATTTCTAATTGGTAGATTCAACACAATAATTTGAGTAATGACAAACTTGTAATATGGTTAAGTTAAATTTCCTTTTTTTTTTTTTTTCTGTGGCCACCCTCCTGGTGCTGTTTTACTGTGTCTAAGTCTGGTGTATCCCTAAATGGCATATGGCCCCACTATACTCCCATGGATTCCCCTGGGCAATCGATGTTAAAACAGCTTCTTGCATATTGTGCCGAGATGCGGAAATTGGCCACTGGCGGATGCAGAGCTTGAATTGAAAATCAAATTAAGCAGAATTCTCTACTTAGTTTTTAATTAAACCACTATGTTAATTCAAACAGGACATTTTAGGCCTGGGGGGTTGACTATGTCCTTTTAAGGGCCTTAAATAGCTTTTCTTCTCTCTTACGGTGGCAGTGGCGTGTGTTCCTATTTTATTAGGACCATCTCCTTGCTATTCCCAGACTTTATAATTCTCAAGTGTAAGAGGATAGAACAGCAGCTTTTATCATGGAATTCAGACTTACTGTTTGCAGTTAAATGTTTACCAAATTTAGATTATTTTGCTGTCACCTATGTGTATTGTATTGAGCTTTAGGCATGTTTGTAGGTATTTGAAAGTGACTTTTGTTTACAAATTAATTCTTCCAGTCTGAAAAAGGTTCCATTTGGTGGTTTTTGTTTCGTTTTGCAGTAGGGTTGCTTTTCCTGCGGTCTGTGGATCTTAGGGCTCAGGGAACATCTTAGTGCAGAGATCACTGCTGTACTTATCATTACCTCAGATTGGCTGTATGATTTATCTCCCTCCCCCACTCCAGAAAAGACCTCCAGGTTATCCGGATTAATGTCAGAGATGTTTTCTGATTTTGTAATGAACTCTGGAAGTATAACCTCTGGCCATTGTTTAAATGGGAGTTAGGAATATATTTGTTTCGTATTATATTTCAACATCTTATTTTGAATTAAAATGTTATGAGGAAAAAAATTCAACGACGTAAAGAAAGTGGGAGAAAATATCTCCATATGATTGTTATATACATTTTATGACAGATTCATAAACCCAAGATTTTTCTGGGAATAAATTTATATTGTACTTCACTTTAATGCCTATCTTTGATTTGAAGTCATGGCATAAAATTTAACATAAGCAACGGCAACATCCTGAGCAATTATCCAAGCCATCCAGACATCCCCACATGTCCAGAACATAGCACGCGGTCTGTAGGATTAAGAGGTTAACTCCTATAACTTCAAACAAAGTGCTTAATAATAAAAGCAAAAAGTAGAAAATTTTAGGTAACTTCCTTTCTTAATGAATTGGACTGACCAGGTGGAAGCGAAGAGCTCTGTGCTGGTGCTTGGAATGTCTATAAAGCTGAGCAACATGACAGCACAATAGAGGAGGAACAAAGATTTGTTTAATATGTTTCTATCCTGTGTCACAGTTTGAAATTGTCCTGGTTTATGTCCCTTTTGGCAAACTTACATAAAAGTGACCTTGTAC